CAGGGCGGAGACTACCGTATGGGCGGGGAGATCCGAAACGGAGAAAAAAAAACGCAATGGCGGCGGGACAATCCCTACGGGCGGGAAGCTCCGTAAGGGAGGACATTCCTGAACGGCGGGGTTGTGCAGAGCCTGAGCTTTTGTCATGCACGTTGCATTACCATGATTTTGATAAGCACGAACACACACAAGCAACCACACACGCGCACACACACACACACACACGCACGCACGCACGCACGCAGCCACGCAAAAACATATACACTCGGAGAAAAGACATGGAAACATTTGATTGCATGCAGAATACCACGCATACAAACACAAACACACACACATACACACAAACACCCCAACGCAACACCAAACGAAAACACCGGGAATCACTGCATTTAAGCATGCCGCCCCATATTATCGAAACCATCGAATCATTATGCAAGAATGCAGGTGTATGCTATCATGTGAAAATCCAAACGATGTTCAAACGGGCTTCCAAACTCAACCGCATATATGGCTCGCTTGTTGGATCCAGCGTCTGTCTGTACTGAGAGCATTGTTTGTTGTATTGAAGCCTTGTGCGCCTTGCATAGAAGTTTTGTTTCACTGATTGGCGCCAGGATTCGTACTTTAATGATTTAGATTCAACTGACCTAGGCATATTGACGTTATATCGATGTGATGTGTGTCGAGACATATCGCGTTTGTAGGTGCATCTTGTGTTTCATTGAACTCGGGACTTGTAGCGACATTTGGCTTACATTGCATTACACAAAAAACATCGAAACTACAAAATGCATTACTCCGATGGTCGGACCCGCACGCGCACTTATCTAGCGTGCCCCTCGTTTTTTCCTCGTCGACTTGGCGGAAGCCCTCCTCCCATCCTCTGTTACGCCTCCTCCTCTTCCTCCTCCTCCTGATCTTCGCCCTCCGTCTCCTCCTTTTTGTCGCCCCCCCCTTCTCCTCCCTTCCGTCCGCCTCCCCCTTCCCCCCTTTCCTCTTCCTCCCCTGCCCCATCGCCATTCTCCTCGTTGTCAATGGCTGACCCTCCTCCTGCAAGTTCTCCCCGCGCGCCTCCCCTGCCCCTCCTCGGGGCCGTCGCCACCTTTGCCAGAGCGCGCGCGTTTTCCGATGGCCGGAACGCGAAACCGCCGGGCGACCCCGCGGGCCCGGCCGCCGGGGCAACCTCGCGAGCCGCGGGGGCGCGGGAGCAAACCGTTGGGACCGCGCCGCAGGTCTCGACCTAGCGGCGGCCGCGCCCAGGCGGGGGGCAGCGCGAAGCCCAGCTCTGCCGCGAGTTGCTCCGCCCCAGCCCTGGAGCAGGCCGTGCCCCCGTCGAACTCCCCGAGCGCCTTTCGCAAGGACGCTGGCGGCCCGCGCCCGGGCAACTCCCGCGCGGGCGGCCGCGGGGCAAGCGTGTCCTGCCTGCTCGTGGCGCGGGGGGACATGAAGTAGAGGCGCAGCCGCCACTGCTCGTCCGACATGCCCGCGCGGCCAGCGCCCTCGCCCCTGGCGCAGTCGATGGCGGCGCCCTGGCGCGACGCTGGGCCCCGCGGCGGCGCGGAGGTCAAATGGGGCGCGCGAGACAGGGTGCGCCCCGAGCGGAGCGCGGCGCGCGGCCCCGAGCTCTGCTGCGCGAGCTCCTGCTCGCTGGGCCTTAATGCGTGCGAGCTCCTCGCCCGCGCGTCGGCCTCGCCTTCGTCGTCGGCGCCCTCCGTCCCCTTGTCGCAGCAGCTTGGCGACCTCATGGTTGATCGTGGGGGCTCCTTGAAGCCGTGGACCTGCAACCGTATTCCCCGCGGTAGGTAGCGGGGGCGACAAGCTGGCCCGACGCGCGCACCTCGCGCTCCCGCTCGTCCTCGCGGTGAAACTCGACAGACGCAACGGTGGCCAGTTGCCCCTGCGCGAGCTCCAATTCCTTCTTCGGTTCCTCCTGCGCGGCCGCGAACCGAACCACCATGCCGACGCGCGCGCCGGCAAGGCGCCGTGGATGTCCCCTGTCTTGTGCATGTCCAAGACACTCAGGAGGCACCGGCCCGCGTCTGGATCACCTTGAATCGCGGTGCACTCGTCTACGGCCTGCAGGAAAACGAGGGGCTCGCCAAGACTCTGCGCGTCGCGACGAGCGCGCGCGTTGATCCACCTCACCAGCGTTTCCCTGTAGACGCCCATGCCGTAAGCGAGCCGAGAATTCTCGCGCTGCCGCCGAGGGCCCAAGACACCGTGGCTGTCCGAGACCAACGTCTTCTCCCAGGCGGGCCAGACCACTGTCGGGAAGGGCTCACCCCGCGCATGCAGCCCCAGAGCGTGATGAGAGGCCCCCCAGACTCGAAGCGCCTCGTGCCCTTCAGCCCGAAGAGGCAGGTGATTGGAGAGAACATATCGATAGTATGCTGAATGTCAAACGTCGGGGGATCATGCCACATGGGGACCCCCCGCTTGAGAGTTACCCGCAATTCACTCACAAACGTGGCGCCCGCTTGAGACATCCTCCCGATTTGCCCCATTGGGGTGGTCAAGTGCTTTGCCTGGTGGATGACCCGCTCGGATTGCCAGCGTAACGCGCGGGCCCCATGAGGGGGGCGAGGGGGTGCGCCTGAGACTTCCTCGCAATTCGCTCGCAGAGAGGCTCCTGCTTGAGACATTCTCACGATTGTCCCTCTTGGGGTGCTCAGGTGCTGCGCCTGGTAAATGATCCCGGTGATTCGCACGGATTACCAACGTGAAATGCGCGCCCCAAATGGGGGGGGCGCTTGCCCGCTGTCCCCCTTGGGGTACTGAACTGCTCTGCATGGTGGATGACCCCGATGGCCCGCTCGGATTACTAACGCGAAGCGCGGTCTCAACAGAGAGGGGGGCGCCCCCGCCTGTGACTTCCCGGCAATCCACGTGCAAACGAGGCCCCTGCTTGAGACATCCTAGCAATTTGCCCCCTAGGGCGCATGATTGTGACGGTGGCTTATGGCAGTGACGGAATGACGATAGTTACGATGATGCTAACAACGATGGTGATCTGATCATTATAGTGATGGTAATGCTGATGATGATCATCTTGATTGTGAACACGATGACGACTATGATGGCGATGATGATGATGAGAATGATGATGATATTGCGGTGTTGATGATGACGATGATGACCGCGATCATGATGATGAGAAAGGGGGGCGGAGAAATCCTGCGCGGGGGGGCGCAGAGAAGACAACAACCAAACTTGGGATGACAAAATTAATGGTGCATCATTGTACATAACACCTGTATCAAGACTGGATGGATGAGGATATCATGAACATTAGACGGGAACGTATCAACGAGTGCAAAACCACAAACAATCATCAACAACCACAAACAAACCACCGAAGAAACCAAACAATACAATGCACAAGCAAAGCGCACAACAAAGCAGCCCAAAAACACTAACACCACAAAAGAACCCGCCCACCCACGGCCGCCGCGCGCGAGCCGCCGCCGCCGCCAAAATGCGATCAAGAACTTCCCGGGCTTCCGCCGCGCAAAGGAAACCAGTGGGGGTTGCGCAAGCCTGAAATTCAGAGTGTCCATTGGAATTGGAAACGCGTCCACATAGGGATTCAATGGGATTGGAGCAGACCCGAGGTTCAGAAGATTGATGGGGACGCGTTTCACGTGAGCTTGCCTTGGGAACATCTGGCGGCGCGTTTGAATTGTCCCCCCCAACACTCGGCGCCATTGAACAGAACCAGGCGGACTCCCCTCCCCACTCTCCATCCCCTTCCCAACCTCTGCGCGGCTGCGGCGGCGGCGGCTGGCAGCGCCGACGCCCACACCCACGCCCACACCCGCGCCCACGCCCATGCCCACGCCCGCGCCCACAGCCAGGCCCAGGCCCGCGCCCACGCAAACGCCAACACCAACGCTCACGCGCACGCCCACGCCCACACCCGCGACCACGAACACGCCCACACCCACGCCCACGCTGACGCCAACGCCCACGCCACCGCCCACGCCCACGCCCACGTCCACGCCCACGCCAACGCCCACGCCTGCGCCCGCACCCACGCCCACGCCCACTCCCGCGCCCACGCCCAGGTCCAGTCCCACGCCCACGCCCACGCTCACGCCCAACCAAGCCCACACCCAAACCCACGTCCACACCCACGCCGACATCCACACCCACACCACCGCCCACGTCCACGCCCACGCCCACACCCACGCACAGGCCCGCGCCCACGCACGCGCCCACGCCCATGCCCGCGCCCGCGCCCACGCCCACGCTCACACGCACGCCCATGCCTACGCCCGCGCTCACGCCCACGCCCACGCCCACGCCCACGACCTCGCCCGCGCCCACGCCAACACCCACGCCAACGTCCACGCCAACGTTCACACTCACGCCAACGCCCACACCCGCGCCCACACCCGCGCCCACACCCATGCCCACGCCCACGCCCAGGTCCACACCCACGCCGACGACCACGCCCGCGCCAACGCCCGCGCCCACGCCCGCGCCCACGCCAACGCCCACGCCCACGCCCACGCCCACTCCCACGCCCGCGCCCAAGCCCAGGCCCAGGGCCACGCCCACGCCCTCGCCGGCACAGGCCCGGGGGGGGGAACTGGTTCCAGACCCCCCCCTCGCCTCCAAGCGCCCACAGCAGAACGCGCTTTCTCAGAAAATTATCCAGCGGAATCGAATACGCAATCAATCGGAATTCAATGAACATTGCCAATGTTCAACGTTTTCGATCGGATTAAAACAAATCGCCCAAAGTGGATTTCAATCGGGTTCGCATGGGGACCCAACAGGAGCCCATAGAAAGTTAACAGGATTGGAGCATACCCCAGGTTCAGAGGATTTCGACCGAATTTGAACTGGAAACCTTTGAGATTCCAATCAGGAAACTTCAAAATAGAAGTCAGCAAAACAACCTTTCGAAAAGGAATAGTTTGGAACGCAAGGACAACACATCGATAAATATAAGCATCGTTCTCATCCACCACCCCTCCAGCCCCCTTCAAAGCTATCGGTCCCCCTCCCACACAACGTTCGCGGAAGCGTACGGCAGCGCATTTGGACCGAAGCACCTGCGGAGCATATTATGGAGAGCGGAAAAATGAAAGCGGCCACCGAGCGTTCCCCGTGTGACTACACTGGCAACTTCGAAGGCTCCGAAGCCAGCAACATCGTTGCCCGCAGCAGCGGGTCGAAAACGCCCTCGTGGCTGCAATCACAAGGCGAAGGCCTCGAAGGGGCCAGGTAAGAGCCCTCACATAATTTAAAAAAATGCATAACCATCCGCTTTCGGAGGTTTGCGAGGGGTTCTTGAATCGGCGCTGGACCCCATATCCCCGCACCAATTCTCCCGCGCGCGGATGGCGCCGGGGGCGGAGCTAGAGGCGATGCCCAGGAGTGCGGGGAAAGGAATCCGGAGAAAACGACACATCCGCCCGGAACTCCACAACGCTCGTGTGTACGCCGCCTCCCTCTTGTTCCTCGATCGAAGAGACTGTGGCAGGCTCCCGTGGCGATGCGGTTGGCGTTGGCCTCCCTCTAAACACACACTGCTGGCGCTCTGCGCAGATTTTTTTGGGGATCCGCGTTGGGCCCCCCTCCCTGGCGCGCTCCGCGCGCCAGGGGCGGCACCAGAGGCGCCGAGCGCCAAAAGTGTATGTTTGTGGCATTATTTATCCTCCTCCTCCTCCTCCTCCTCCTCCTCCTCCTCCTCCTACTCCTCCTCTCCTCCTCTCCTCTCCTCCTCCTCCTCCCTCCTCCTCCTTCCTCCTTCCTCCATTCCCTCATCCTCCTCATCCTCCTCCTCCTTCCTCCCCCCTCCTCGTCCTCCGCTCCTCTTCCTCACATCATCCTCCTCCTCTCCTCATCCTCCCCCTCCTTCCGGCTCCTCCTCCTCAATCCCTCCTCATCCTCCATCTCCTCCCCCCCTCCCTCACTCCTACCCTTCCCCCTCCTCGTCCTCCGCCTCCTCCTCCTCCTCCTCCTCGTTCTCCTCCTCCCGTCCCTTTTCTCCTCCTGATGTCCTTCCTCCATGTCCTCCTCCTGCTCCTCCCTCCCTCCTCCTCCTCCTGCTCCTATCTCCCTCCTACTCCTTCTCTCCTCCCTTTCTTCTTCTTGCCCTCCTCCTAACCTCATCCTCCTCCTCCTCCATTTTCATCCTCCCCCTCCTCCTCATCCTACTCTTCCACACTCCTCCTTCAACGCCTATCATCCTCCTCCCTCCTCCTGCTTTCTCCTCCTCCTCCTCATTTCTCCTCCCCCTCCTCGTCCTCCTCAGCCTCCTCGTCCTCCTCCTCCTCCTCCTCCTCCTCCTCCTCCTCCTCCTCCTCCTCCTCCTCCTCCTCCTCCTCCTCCCCGTTAACACCGAGCAGATCGTTCAGCCTTGAGCGGCCACTGCTTTCCGACTGCGCGGGTCGCTCGAGATCGGCCGATCGAGGCCACGGGCGGCGCTGCGCCGTGTAAAAGCCCGCTCGGGGGTCGCCCGCAGCGCCGCGCGAGCCTGCCGCAAGCACCCCCGGCTGGCGTGCCGTCCGTTGCAAGATCAGCTCGTGCACAGACGATTCCAGGCGTCCGCATTCGTCTCGGCGGGCTCCTGGCCGTCCGCCGCGAAGCGAAGATTGGGCGCACCTGCCTGCATTTTCAAGTACTTTAGCCTTTCCAGGATCACCTCGTGGGGGCAGCCGTGGCAACGAGGGGTTTCACATCATCATCATGGTCATCATCACCACCGCCATCACACCCATCTGTAACAGTCGCTGTGGCCGTGACGTCTACTCCACTCTCGCATCATCATGATCATGATCATGATCATGATCATGATCATGATCATCATCATCATCATCATCAGCATCATCATCATCATCATCATCATCATCATCAGCATCATCATCATCATCATCAGCATCATCATCATAATAATCATAATCATCATCATCATCATCATCATCATCATCATCATCATCATCATCATCATCATCATCATCATCATCATCATCATCGCTCGCCTCCGATAGTGCAGGGACATCGCCGCTTGAAAGTCTTTCGCCATCAAGGTCCAGGCCAGGGCCTCGCGCCACGCCAGCGCGGCCTGGCAGACCAGGAGCGTCATCCGAACATGGGCGGTGGCCAACACCGCTGGCTCCATGGAAGGGGCACACCGCCACCTCAAATAGCTAGAGCATCAGGCCATGTCGGCGACGCTGAGCACCCCCAAGACGCTCGAGGTGTGCGACACGGTGCAGGCATCCACATCTCTCCACTCGCAGCTTTGGGGGGAGAGATGGACCAGCAATATCTCCAGAAGGCCAGCCTTAGCACAGGCGATGCAGGACCTCAGGAAAGTAGCCCTAATTAGCCGCGCTTCCCGACCGCAATTCCACACCAGAGAGCACCTGGTGGCGGCCTTGAGGACCTTCAACAAGACCACGGCCAAAGGCTCCGACCAGCGGGAGGCGCAGCACATCCTGGCGCTCTCGGAGCAGGGACAGGAGGGGCTGGTCAACATCATGCTTGGCATCGAGAGGCCCCTTGCCTGGCCCCACCAGCTGCTGCACAACTGGTACGCCCAACTGCCGAAGGGCTCCAGCAAGAAGTCGGCAATGAGCGCGACATCAGCCGTCTGCCGATGCCAGTCCGAATCCGGGGCCGCATGATCACAACGTCGCTCGCGGAACGGTGCGACATGTAGGCGGCCCACTGCGAGGCAGCGGTGCGCGGCAGCTCAGCAAAACAGGCGGCGTTGCTCACCGTGGTGCTGGACGAGACCCGCGCGCGCATCGGGGTCTACGAGCAGGCCGACTTCCTGCTGGATGCCGAGATGTTCTACGGTTACAGGGACGTGGCCCTGATGAACAAGCAGGGCGTCGAGCTGGAGTTCCGCCTCGTGGAGCTCTACCTATGCTGCCTCGCGCGCCTGGCCCCCAGGGTGGTCAAATCCCACTGCGCTTTCGGCTCGGAGGTCGCACCGAACCGCCCCGCCGTGCCTGGCTGTGGCAAAGCCAATATCACTGTGTCGTCTGCTTGAGGAGAAGGCGCGCGCGAAGGCGCCCGGCGCGGCCGTGCGTGGACGACGTGCACACTCGGGTCGAGGGCCCCGGGGCCCTGGTGCTCGAGCAAGCCACGGTGGTCGCCGGGTCTCTCGTCCCGGGTTGCTTGGACCTCGGCATCTGCGTGTCCCCCCAATCCCTGCTCATGATGTCAGGGGCCCAGCGACACGTGTTGAAGGAGACGGGCATCATGCTCACAGAGGACCACCCACGCCAAGGACCTCGGCTTGGACTGCGCCATGGGACAGCGCACGTGGGATCAACAGGACGGCCTCGAAGCGCATGGCCACTGCGCAAGCTAGAGCGATGAGGACGAGGATTGTCAGGCGCATCGGGCGAGGTGGAAGCAAGTCTAAATGGATCATACCGCACAATACCAGAATCAGGGCCAAGTGCAGGTACTCCGATCCGGCGCAAGGAGTCTCGGCATCTACTGTTAAGGCTAGGAGAGCACGAGCAGCTGACCTGGCTGGACACACTCTATGAGGGCGCTGAACGGCCTCCGTCCTGCACCGTCCTGCAACTGCACACCCCCTCCGACGAGCCCAGGATGGCGGCGCTCGGCGACCAGATCAAGCAGTGGTTCCAGGTCTGGGCCAGGAGACACATGCTCCAGGACAGGATTCGACGTGGCTAGCGGGCGGTGCTCAGGAAGCTGATCTACATAGGCCAAGGACCCGTTGGAGGTGCGTTACGGGGCCACTGGGGAGGGTCATCGTGGCGCTGCGCGACACCGGCTGTATCCCCAGGGGCCTTGTCATCTAGATCGACGACCTCGGCCAAGAGTGGCGCCGCGTGGGCGACGAGGCGGACAACCGCGATGAGCTCATCAGGCAGATGAGAGCCTCTCCCACCAAGCAGCTGTGGAAGCAGGAATCCTGCCACGTCCTCGGGGGCGGCCTGGAGTCCGAGGACGGCGACTTTCACGTGCTGAGGGTCAACCTGCGCCGCCTGCGCAGGAAAGAGCGCCACAGGGAAGCTGGGGCACTCGAGGCGAACGCGCTGGGTTGCATCTGGTCCAGTCGAGAGCCATGGCGGCGGGCTACCAGTGCGACGATCAGTGCGAGAGGTGCGGGGACGGCATCGACACCCCCTTGCGCCGCCTCTACGAGTGCGCGGCCAACCAGGACATCGAACACGAATGGGCCCAACGCACTGCTGCCCTCTGTGAACGCGCGAAAAGAGGTCTGAGTGAAGGACGCAACGAGGCCTTCTGGACCAGATGGATTGTTTCCTCCGGCTGGAACTCCTACATGGAATCCGGGAGAAGGTCTCGAGGTCTGGTCGGCAGGATGCCCTCTTGCCTCCCTGGACTCTTCCTCCCTTGCGATGCTCCTTTGCTCCACCTTCCGCCTCCGCAAGCGGCGAACTTTCCTGCGCGGTTCTGGCACTTCCAGTGAGGCCCGCGTGTGCCGTGTCGGGTGTGTTGTTTGCGGAGTCGGAGGCGGATCTGGACGTCGAGGGTCGCCCGCTTGCTGGACTGTCTGGCACGCTCGGCTGGGGCCCGACGGTCCCCTCCACTGAACTGGCGGCCCCCTGGAGGGCCCTCCAATGTCCTCGGAAGAAGAGGAAGCGGCACGAGCATAAACTCTTGGCGCTCCGCGCTGATTTTTTTCCTTGGATCTGCGCTGGACCCCCCTCCCTGGCGCGCTCCGCGCGCCAGGGGCGGCGCCGAAGGCGCCGCCGGGAGGGGGGTGGCCAGGGCGGATCCAAGAAATCCGCGCGGAGCCCCGAAAGTTTATGTTTCTGGCGATGTTCTTCTTCGCCTCTGGGAGGCCCAGGTCCTCTGAAATCCCGCCCCTGGCGCGCTCCGCGCGCCAGGGAGGGGGCCCCGGGGCGGATCCAAGAAATCCGCGCGGAGCGCCAGGCATTTGTGTTCACCATGCCGTTTTCTACCCATCGAATCCTGCGGGCCCCCTCGCCGCGCACACGGACTGCCGGTCGGTCTGCGACGGCTGGGCCCCAGGGGGTGCACCGAGGGATCTCCCCGAGGAGCCACGACGCGCGCGCGCAGCACTGGGCCCGGGAGGCCCTCCAGCAGCGAAGCAGCCCCGTCGCTGTGCACCACATCTTCTGGCACCCATGCGAGGAGGAGGAGGAGGAGGAGGAGGAGGAGGAGGAGGAGGAGGAGGAGGAGGAAGGGAGGAGGAGGAGGAGGAGGAGGAAGGGAGAAGGAGGAGGAGGAGGGGGAGGTTGAGGAGGAGGAGGAGGAGGAGGAGGAGGAGGAGGAGAAAGAGGAGGAGGACAAGGAGGAGGAGGATATCGACGCTGCTCCCCATGCGCGGTCAGGACGTTTTGCATCACATCTTCTGGCACCTGTCGGATCCACTACAGGGGGTGACCCTGAAAGGGAGCATGGGTTCGATCCGCCGGTGCACCGAACCGCCGCAAACAGATGCCCCCTGCATGCCCCACTTGTCGGCAACTGTTGAGGTCCGCCGGCGGCGGGGGGGCATCTGTTCGGGGCGGCTCGGTGCAATAACCGATCGAACTCACAAACGCACACGCACACACATCCACACACATCCACACACACACACATCCACACACCCACACACCCACACACACCCACACGCCCACACACCCACACACCCACACACACACCCACACATACACACACAAACACACCCACACACACCCACACACACACAACCCCCCCACACACACACACACACACACACACACACACACACACACACACACACACACACACAACACACACACACACACACACACACACACACACACACACACACACACACACACACACACATACACGCACACACACACACACACGCACCCCCCCCCCACACACACACCACACACACACACGTACACACGTACACACACCCACACACCCACACACCCACACACACGCACACACACACACACACTCTCACACACACACACACACACACACACACCTGGGCACACCTCCCCTTTGCGGGATCCTGAGTTTGGACGTTGCTCCCCATGCGCGGTCAGGACAGGACGTAAGGCTCAGCCAGGAAAATGAGCCTGCGGCCCTTACAGCGCAGCGCGGAACGGAGGCCGCAGCCGGGCCGATCCACCACCCGGTCAAAGGCCCCAGTGCGGCCGATGCTCTCGCCACTCTGGTGCGCCAGCGCGCAGGCGCCATCACTCCACGTGTCTGCGAGGCCCTCGACCGCCCAGAGCGTCCTGGTCCTCACTTCGGGGGCCCGATCGGGGCCAACGCTGGCTTGCCTCGGGCGGGGAAGCTCGAGGCCGGATCAGACCACGCCGTGACCCGTCTCCAGAATCCGATCTGGTCCTGTAAGTTTTGCCCTTTCTCCTCCCGGCCTCGTTCTGAGGCTGCGCCCCCCCTTTTCCTCCCCCATCTCTGGTTAATTCAAGCTTCGCGCGGCCCGCTTAGCTTCGACTGGAAGAGGTGCGCTCTCGACCCGCCAATCCCCTGGGCGTGTCTCCCTCGAGGACTGGCTCCAGGCCCCGTCAGTGTCGGGGAGGCGAGAGCGAGCGGGGTCTCAGTGTCAGTGAGCAAGGCCACCATCTCCACGTGCCCCAGTCCTGCGTTGCGCCCCCGAGGGCTGGCGACGGGACAGTCCACGAGTCTCACTCGACTGGCCTGCTACACGGCCGGTCC